ACTGCGCGTCAGGCATGGCCTTTCTGTAGATCAGTTCTTTGTGTGCAGGCTTCTCCTGCGGTTCATATGTACTCTGTCGCACAGGCTGTCAACCCGAATGAAACAACTTTTAGAAAACTATCGCTGACCGAGAAAGTCTTTTTAGCTCCTCTTACTTGATGGCTGATTAAACGTTAGGCACAAGACTGAGCACCGCCAAGCTCAGTTTTTCATCCCATCTGATGCTGTTCCGTGATGCTACACCGAGCCGATGATCCCTCGAATTTTCTTGTTCTTTGCTATTGCACTAGATGTTCACTTGTTTGCAAGGTAATTGAGACGTCTGAGGAGTCGGAATGCGCAAACAAAATAAAACTGAATAGAAACTGTGCACGAAAAATCATCTCCAGCCCAAGCTTTCAGGTATCTGGCATGGTTGCTTTTTTTTTTTTCATAGATGCCAATTATTACTGCGCGTCAGGCATGGCCTTTCTGTAGATCAGTTTTTTGTGTGCAGGCTTCTCCCGCGGTTCATGTGTACCCTGTCGCACAGGCTCGAGTAGTGGCGCCGTTGTTTTTTTGTTTTGTTTTTTCCGCGGCCGCAGTGAAATTACCCCGTGAATGGCAGTGGGCTCACGCGTTCACGAAGACGAAGAAGCCAACGACGACGAAGCAGACGACAAAGCGATTCTAAAGCGATAAGACAACTGAAACTGCTTTTCTGCAATTGCTGAGGAAAGTAAGGCATCACAAACAACACAATCCTATGAAGTCAAAACATGCCAGAGAATCAATGTGATACCGGGGCGTGCCAAATGATAATCTATGGTGATGTACGTACGCGCAGCCGTATGTAGCCGGAAAGGGATGACTACAAGTAGCATGGCGGCGGCACCACTTCCGGAATGCGCGCGCCTGCGCAGTTCGCTTGGTGACATCGGTCTATTGTGGGGGCATTCTGATGTACCGCCCGTGTGACAGCACGGATGAGTGCTCAGCCTGAGTTGATTGTACCTTCGTGTGTGCACAAAACGACCACGCTCGGCTGTGACGATTACAGATCCAAAGGTAAGTCTGTATTTTTTACTTGGAGCATTGTGAATTGCCCATGCTTGGTCCGTATCACTTCATTGCAACTTTTCATCGACCCACGACTCATCGACAACATTTCCCCGCTGCTCGTTAAATCAACTACTACTACGACGCCCGATTGGGCGTCGAAGGCATAGTCGTGCGCCCGTCATGCAACGTCATCATCATCATTTATTAAACCTTGAAGGCCATTGCTGGCATTACACAAGGTGGTAGTAACTGCTGAAGAAACATTATATAAATGAACAAACAAAAAAGTGGGTTACATGCTGGAAAACTTTGTTATATAAAGCAGCAAAAACAGGAAAAAACACACTTAAAACATTTTTAGGGAAAAACAGCTGATGAAACAGAAAAAATACCCAAATAAAACATTTTATTTGGGTATTTTTCTCCTTGAGCGAAGCCGAAGGCAACTTCGGCTTCGCTCAAGGAGTTTTAATTTAATCTCAGGCTCGAGTAGGCACCCCACCTAGTCGGAATCGCCGATCGTTAAAGGGACACTGACACCCCCCAAAAAAATTTTTTTATTTTTTGCCAGGCGCTTTATTATGGTGTCGGAGGACTGCCCGATTAATATTTTGCAACAGAGTAGCGTATTTTTTTAATAAAGCCAAAAGACGCAACTGCTCGAAACCGAAACCGAAACCCGACAGAGGTCGGAGAAGTGGAGAGAAGAGAGCGAGTGGCGGAAGTCACGTGGCTACACCCGACCGTGCGTTTTTTTTTCTCCTTTCCGTAGCAGACGACACGACATGCGGCGTGCGGGAACTGCTCGCCGTGCGATTACTTGCAGTTATGTTTGTTCCGCTCGTTGTTCTGTACTCCAAGATGAGTTGTTTTGTACATTGAGGAGTTGGAGATGAGTTATAGTGAGTGCCCTTGGTGAATTTCCATGATCGGCTCCGAAAAGAATACGCCCAAGATGTTGCGTGAAGAGCTGGCTTACATGTCCTGCATCCGAAAAAAAGTGGCATTGTGCGACAGAGTTTCCGAAAGATCAACGGGATCGGGACCAATGGCTGGCTGCAATTCCTGCAAAACAGTTACGGGCACCTTGGAAAGCGGACGCTACCCGATCTATATGCTCCTTGCATTTTGTGGAAAGTGATTACATGGAGTTCGGAGGTGTCAAAACGGGAATCCCATACCATTTATTTCAGCGAAGTATCGCCCACAACATTTGTTTGTTATTTTTTTGTTTGTTTCTTCAGTGATGATTGTAAAAAAAAAAGAAAAAGATATGTAAACATCGGAAAATGTTTGGAAAAAGAAAAAAAGTTCCACGGGGGATTGAACGCGGTCCTACCGCGTGTGAACCGGACGTCTTTCCCACTGAGCTACTGCAGCATTTCTTCAATGGTGGATCTCTTTCCTTAGTAATAATTCAGCCGGTAACTGTAAGTTGGAAAGCTTGCTGTCGATTTTTCTCTACAAAAAGCACTCCCGGGTCGAAGTCGGGAAGCACCACGCATTGGGGACATTTGCACCTAGTGAAGAAATCGTACGCGTGCATATTCAACTGGAAGTAGACACGTCGTGCTTGACGTTTGCGCGAGCGATGTCTTCAGTCACGAGAAGGGAGCGACGGCTCGGCGACGTCTTCGTGCAAATCGGCTTGGTGGCCGGCCGTGTCGTACGGGATGAATACCAATTCTTTTGATCAGTCCCAAATTTCTCTTTTAACGGTCGACAGAATTCGGCGGTACCGCAAACTGCAGTTCTGAAATAGAGGTCCCACGCCCGTCGTCCGCTGCCATCGCCGTCTCCGCGAGTCCCACGATACGCGAAACGACGAACGCACAGAATGCTTCCAGTTGTCTGTGGAACTTTTTTTTTTCAATCAACATATTTACAGCTTTTTAGAAGCCACAAAAAATGGGGTTCATATTTTTTTCTATTTTTAATATTGAGTGTGTGCCTTCAGTGACCCACGACTTTGATTAAATTTGGTGGTCGCATCGATACCTTAGAAAACGGCCCGTGACCGCGAAAAAGAGAGTGAGCGAGACTCGAACCGGCCAGTTCTTGATCGGCGGTTTTCGGGTGGAAAGAAACCGAATTTCGAGCCGCAAATTCTGTTCTGGGTAGTTGAGCTCTCATATGTCACGTACAACTAAAAACCTCGGCGAGCATAAATACCCTGTCAGTGTCCCTTTAAGTAAACTAGACTTTGCAATCGGGAGAATGCGCCACCGCTGCGTTGATGAGGCTCATGAAGCCCTCTTCACAAGTCTGCGACATAAATGCCACAAAAAAGTCAATTTCTAAGGCTCTGTCGAGAAAAAGACGCTGCCGATGAAACGATCTGTCGATAAAACGTTGCTTGTCGATGAAACGATCTGTCAGTACCGACAAGACGGATGGCAGTTTTGAAAAGCGCGGATCTTTACTAGGTTCAGCATATAGAGCTCACACAAACTCACCGTCTTGATCGCCAACTACCATCGACTTCTGATCGTTTCGTTGTCCCCGCTTCAAGGAACTTGTAAGAGCAACTCGCCGACGACAGCACCGACCTGAGCCGCAAGCGTAGCCCAACCCAGAGTTCGAACATCGAATATTCGTAATTCCCGGTGGGGCGCACCAGGCGCGTTTTTTTTTTGTTTTTTTTTTTTCAGGTTTTTTTGTCACAATGTTTTCCTTTATACCTTTTACGAGTTTGTTTAGTCCTTTTTTATTATTTGGGTCAACTAATAGCTCGTGGGGAAGAGGCCACAATGCTCTGTTCACGTTCGCAGATTACGTATTTGGTCCCCGACAGATAATCCACAAAAATACGCGAAAACACAAATAATAAAAAGAGAAGCACTCAAGTTATTTTCTTCTCGCGATTTGTTGCTTTTCTTGTCATTACTCTGTGTCAGTGGAGGTTCTTGAATTCCAGCTTCGTGCTCTTCCAATTTTTCTTGAAGGTTAATGTTGGCAGTAATATAATACATTACACCCCTTTTTCTTTGGAACAATTAGGTACTCCCAAAAGTGTATTCGTTCCGAAAAGGGGGGGGGGGGGGGGGGGGTATGCAGACACGTGGTGACTTGTTTGTTCAAGCCAGTGTATTATTCGATTGAAGTGTATTGCTTAGCCTTTATGGTCGTGCAAAAAATTACTGAATTATTTGCGAAAGAAAGAGAAAATGAGAGAGCACAGTCTATAAAACCAGATTTCAAAATAATAAACAATATGCAACAAATCTTACAAACTAATAACACACAAAGAAATTACTCCGTAGAAGCTGGACTGTTCTCGAAGTTCATATCCTCAGCCTTTCGCAATCAAGTAATAATGCAATTCAAATTGGCGCAAGTGACGTTCGTTCTCTTTTGAAAGTAACCGTAACGGTATATCGTGACGTTTCTAGGACGATAACGAATCTCATTAACCCGTTAATTTTTGACAATCTTAAAAATAAAGCTATTTCGTTACTTTTTTTTTGTAACGGGCACACCAGTGCTTGGGCCCCACAGGTACCAGAAAACCCAATACTCAATATCGTTGCAAGGCCCCTTGAAGCTGACAGTGCGGTGCGAGCTACACGTTTGCCGGACCAGACAACCGCCTCCATTTCATCGCCTGACCACGCCCTCTGCGTGGATATGGCAGGCAGAGTGGGCATGCGGCGAAAGATCGACGTTTGAGTGGTCCAACGGGATCGTATGCCATCCACCACCCTGCCAGCTTTGGCCCTTTGCATCTGCCATCAAAGAAACATTTTTTAGCGTTCAATCTATTTGGGTAAGTAATTTTGACTGGTTTTAAATGCCTCATACCTTTGTAACGTGGGTGTATTAAGTAGTTCACGACGATGCCGAGGAAAACTATAATGAAATCCATGCCTTTAAAAGTATTATTTAATATTTTAAGAACTCGAATTCGTTAATTATTCACTTATATTGAACTCTAACAATTTCACTTTGACACAGACCACTACGGCAGCAGGCTTCTTTATTGTGCAATGAGTCGTTTTTGCAGTAACGAGTTTGCCCGTTTTCCCGGAAACACCCTCTTTATGTCAAAAGAAATATTTTATACATTTTGGAATAGAACTCCACCTGCAGCGATTCTGGCGCATCAGGCAATAGTGACAACCACTGTACAGTCAGCGTAGATTAAGACATATTTAGATGAATTATGCCGATACAGTGTTTAAATACATGATTATACACAGTGGAGTTAATTATGCCTTTAGTAAAACAAATATATATGAACCGTCTACTACAAAAAGAAGTTCAAAGAAATAAGGGCCTGACGAATCCCAGTGAAACTAGATGAATACCAAATAAATAGCACTAAAAGTACGAATATTCTAAATCAACAAAACCGCTTTGATGAAAGGTGAAACTAAATGTTTATGAACACTAAATGAATAGCACTAAAAGTGTGAATATCCTCAATGATCAGGACCGTCTTCGTGAATATGCCAAAAAAAAAAGATAATAATAAAATCATGCAAAAGAAAAACATAGAAACAAGTATTTCATGTAGCAAGCACATTGAAGGATGTCATGGGAATTCGGCAACTGCAACCGGTCAAAATGAAAAAGGACGAAGAATATTAAGAAATGAGATAGGAAATAGCACTGCATTTCTAAATCTTCGAGTCATGTATATTCTGTTGCTGTCCTATGAGTAAAGCAATATTTTCCAGCTTGGTGTGTTAAATAGTTTGGAATATAATTTTATTTTTACATCTTAAAATTCTGTTGACCCCTCCGCATTACTAAGTTTTTCTTATAGTTTCTTAACTTTTGCAATATCCAAAATTGCTGCTATTGAAAGTCGTTAGTTATTTTATTAATTTGTGTATTTATGGTCATGAGTAGGTCGACTTGTAAGGAACACAAGTGGCCCTACAGACAACCCAGAGACGCCAGGTGCAGCACGAGATTAATGACTCTAAATGAATATAAGAATACTAGGCTTCAAGTAATTATTTTTTCGTGTACAAAAAAGAACCAGGGTCGCTTCAGGTAAGGTATATTCACAATTTAATCTGTGTTTACACGATACATAATAGGCCGAAATATTTTCCAACCATTCGAAACCTGCACTGCTCGCAAGTAGAGCTCCTGTAGGTCTATTGCCGAACGAAATGAACACACGTCGGTGCTCGCGTATTTTGTTTAAACCCCATTCACAACTATGATGCACGTTGCTGTTTCGATCACTTGCGATGTAACTTCCGATGAGTGTGTAAATTGCTATAAGTCGCAAACGCTCTACCGCAGGTCTCGCACTTGAACGGCTTCTCTCCTTTGTGAATTTTAACGTGAGATATCAAGTGAGCCTTCTGCACGAACATTTTCTTGCACGCACCGCAACTGAAGGGCCTCTCTCCTGTGTGAGTCCTTTCATGAACCGCCAAACTGCCTTTCTGAGTAAACGCTCTGCTGCACGTGTTGCACTTGAACGGCTTCTCCCCGGTGTGAATTCTATCGTGAGCTGTCAAGTGAGACTTCCGCACGAACGTTTTCTTGCAGGCACCGCAACTGAAGGGCCTCTCTCCAGTGTGTGTCCTCTCGTGGACGGCGACATCCGATGCGGAAGAGCATGAGTAAGGACAGAAGCGGCACGGGTGCTTGTCCGGTCGTCGGTGCGTTTGCTGCTTGTGTGGGCGCGACCAGTTAGTCGGGGGAGAGGTGTCACCCCTGCGGCTGTCACGGTCGATGGTATCCACTTTGTCGCCAGAGTATGCTTCGATCAAGTCTGTTGGGATGACACAACAGAGCATGAAACGTCGGCGCTGTTTTTATTGGTCTGAACATCAATTTTGAATACCTAGATGAACATGGTCCAGAATACGTACATTATGCCGGTGCGGCCTAAAGTAGGTATTCATTCATTTGAGACAATAAAAAGGTTCAATCGTAATGCTTGTAAAGGTCTACAGGCAATCGTTTAAGACTCCACTCTGGCAGCCCCATGCTGCCGCAGCTGTGGTGGCTTGCGCGTTCTCCTAACCAAGTGCGGAAGGGAAGTCAAGCCGCCGCGGCTGCTGCTGCACAGTGTTGGCGGTTACGTGTTACAAGTAACGTCGTTATTGGTAACGCCTTTCTTCTTTCAGTAACGTAGTGACGTATTCATTACTTTTCTAAATCTACAAATTTTCTAAATTTGGCCTGTCTTTTCCCCACGCGAACATTTCCGCTTTAGAAAACCTCCAACCACCGCCTGTCATATTAAAGTCGAAACACGCTGTCGCCAAAAGAAAACAAAAGCGCTGTTACCGTCAATTTATAAATAAAAAGTAACGCAAAAGTAACGTGCGTTACTTTCTGTCGGCGACAGTATCGCGCTCCTTTATTTCGCAAATAACGTAGTTCTTTATTTTTTTTACGGTAACGGCTACAACACTGCGGCTGCATACCGCTGCGAGTATGGAGCGCTGGGTGATAGCGTGTTGACATTAATAATGATCGCGACTGTGTATTAAGTAACGCTGGAAGGGTCATTCACACACCCACAAATTATTAGGTTACACAAAGTAGTATTCAATAAGCTCGTGGAATAATCGTTGTGTGCCTTAGAAACTTGAAACATCGCCAAGGTACGCAGCGATTATTTTATGTGCGATTTGAAACAGCAAAAAACGCGGTTCTATACCGACAATGATGTGGACATTTGCCAGTCTAAAGCTAAACTTCCATTTCACTTTTTGAGGAAGTGTTCGTGGTAACGGGGGGGGGGGGGGGGGGGGGGGAAGGGGGAGCTGCGAGCCACACTCTAACACAAGAAGAGCCGCATCTTGGCCACCCCTGTTCTAAAGCTTCAATCATTTGGAACAGCCAAACATCTTTAGGGCTATTTCATGCGTCGAAAATTATTTATAGCATTTGTGAAAGCTACTCGATCAACCGGAACTGAAGGAAAAAATACAATTTTGTGATATAAACAACTCAGCATGGTACACTTCTCTGATATCAAATACTATGTATGCGGTATAATTTTTCGGCTTGGTGCAGGCCGCTAATTAAAACTTAATGAAGTTTCTACGTGGGGAAAACTTTGTGTACCACATCAGATTGCTTACGTTTTCCATCTTCTGGAAAACCGAGCCTACAAAAAGGTTTTCTTTGCGTGGGGGACCGTTCATGAATCTGTGAGGCTGTGCTAAGAGGGTGCGAAGCTGGATGAGTGTTATCCCGTGTGCGTCTTCTAGTACCTGCTGTTGGTAGTTCTGAGGGCACCATAAGATTGGCGGCAGAAGTCGCACCGCCGTCAGTCCTCCCCTCCTGGTCCATCTTCAATGGTTGCCTCTGCAATTCGGCTCCTTGGAAGGAGAGCTCCGCCCCCTTGTCCTCGCAGTCCGTTCTCTGCCATTCGAAGTCGAATGCTGCGTGGGCAAGTTCGGTTAGGACTGAAGATCAAATTTCGTTTTGTTAATTTTTTTATACTATACCAATACAGAAGCTCAATCACAACGAAACTTAAGGAACAAGCAAACATAAACACACCATGCTGATGAAGTAGAGAAATTCAGGGGTTTGAGTTGATATTGCGGTGGAATTCAAAAAGTAAAATAATCATATCACGATCAACCACGCACATCACAACTGGATACTGAGCATCCCGAAAAAGTCGATTGTAAAAAATGCACGCGAATCAAACATAAAAGCGATCCTTCTCTATTAAGCACGAGATTCAAAGGTTTTACTTCACCTTTAAACACATGTTAAAAAGGATTACGTCGATACAGTTTCACAGAAATCGACAAAGACAAAACTGGGTACGATCAAGGAGCGTGGTTTAGTCACATCGCTCTTGCTACGTAGTGCTGAAAAAAGGCAGGCATGCCACAAAACCAACAACTGCACGGTATATCACCGCCGCAGGCTTTGGGAATTACACGTTAACAAAACGGACACGGTGTGTCGGCGAATGAAGGTGGGGAAGGGAATAAAAATGTCGCATGTAGTTGGCTGAGCTGTGGCCATTCCCTATTTGATCGGACTATAGTCGGTTACAAGTCAAGAAGGTAGGAGAAGCTCCTCCCACAAGTGTGATGCGCCCGTTTCAAATCTCTCCGCAGTCGAAAGAAGAGTTCACTGGAAACGCTCCTTGTTCCGCTTCAATGGATTCCCACTTGTCTCCGATCCCACTTTTTAAGAAAGCGACCTTTGTATTCATCGGAGAGGGAACCGAGGCCCTGAAAGCAGCCTTTGTATCCATCGGGGGGAAGCTAATCCCCCAAAGTCGTATTTGTTTCCGTCGGTGGGGGAGAACTCTAATCTCTATTTCATGGCTTCCACAATGCTAAGTCAAAGTCGAAAGATAAAGCAAATATGTACAGGAAGGCAAGACCCTCCTCGCGCGTTTTCCGCGACGTCACGGAAACGGTGGGACGCTATTGGATGCAAAGGTGGCGGAGGGATATCTGATTCCCTTTGAGGGGCATTTGCCGCTACCTTCTTAACCTGTAACTGACTATAGTTGGTTCCATTCATCTGGGGGAAAATGTAGCCCGCAGGTCTGGCACTGCCAAAGTATAGCTGGCTGGCGGCTGGCCGTCCTTCCTAGGCAGCGAAGGGTCGATCACATTCGCCTTAAGAGCATTTCCGGTTAGCTCGGCCTGCAAAGTATAGAAGAATGAGTATTAATAAACAGGCGCCAACACAAATTACTTTACCTGCCATCAGATATCGTCACATTCGATGAGCAAATCTAAAACTGAAGGGTACCAGTGCTGGGAACCGGTCTAGTTGGCTATTCATTACTTGATCAAACTGCGGAGTAAATGATTACGAACTACGACGCAGAAACGAGAAGAAAAAAAAGGCAACAAAAAGGGAAAACGCGCATCTGCAGTTCAGTTTGATCAAGTCAAGAACTGAAGGCCACTTTCGGAATTAAACGCGGCGTGGATAACAGCACGCTTTGTCAGTACGAGTACCTGCGCGAAATTTCAATCTGAAGGACACGAAAAAATTAAGTCCCATGAGACTATACCATTTCCAAGTGTGTATGTTTTAGCCAAATACCAACGACAAATTTCAAATTTCAGCGAGAAATGTTTCATTATATATGCAACGTCTAAGAGCTAGGGGGAAGGAAAATGTTAGCCGGTTGCGTCAGTGCTGCACCCACGCGACTAGTGCTATCATTAATAAAATGAAATGCAGTGTAGATTAATCAATCAGACTCGAGTTTTGCCAAAAACTAACATAAGCGGGGCTCACTTAGGAAAAATGGGTTTTAGTTCGATACTTGGTTCACGTTCACGAGTTTCTCAGAGACTCGCATTGCTAAAGAGCCCTTTAGATCACCCAGAAGTTGATTACGAAATGTTATAATTTGGTTAATTGATCACCTAGTATACATTGATTACCATTCATCACCAGTATAGGGTTTACAGTCCCTATTGCAAGACAAGTATCTTTTTTCTCATTTCTTCTCACTCAAGACGAGCTTAGAGAGGCATTCCCCTCTGCTTCGTCCCCATTAAAAAGAATCTGAAAGACTTGTAGAAAAATATGAGATAGAGGTTGAATTCCAGCTAGTTTTATTCAGCAAATCTGAATATTGCGTTCGTTTTCTCCGAAAATGTAACCAAACGCGGGAAAACACGCAAAGCCTCCGTCTAGTCGTAAAGTCATTATAGGATCTTTCGGCCGCATTTTCAACACCTATCGATCTCCTCTGTAACGCCCTCCCGGACCGTGTTGAGGGAATGGTTCAGGCTGGAACATGGCAATTATTACAGATTTTGTTCAGGCTTGTTTTACCATCTAGGCTACAAGATAACATCCTTCTTTTCCAAACCAGTTTTTGCGGTCGGTGTTTGGTCCATGGTGAGAGCGATAGAATTCTCGGGTGCTGATTGAACGTGATGTCCCAACGTTTTTCTGGGCGAGAGTTATCGACCAATGATATATCTTAAGTTGGTTTACAAGTTCTTTTGGTGGGAACTACTCATTAACACACGGATGGTGACAGGAGTCCCGCAGTAATATTTGTTCCGAGTGTACATAGGAGAATTTGAGCTCTGTACGGCAGCAGAGCTTGAGATTTGCAGAGGGAGCACCCGTTGTCGATCGCATCAAACGGGAAGTATAGCAGACGATTATAGTTTCAGCTTGCGTCCCGGATCACTTCGTCACGTTACTCGCCATTTGCCAGAGGGCTGCCTTTATTCCGGTCCGTTAACGGAATAAAGTATTTTCTTGTTTTCTTTTTGTCTGCGAATGACGCTTCGTAGCAGACAAATTCTATTGTTCACTTACGTTACCAGACTAATCATCTCCTGACATTTTCTGACTCGCTCCGTCAAGTCCAGGTAACACTGCTCGAACACCAAACAAAAGACAGTGTGCGGTCTGAGACGAGTTTTTTTTTTTTTTTTTTTTTTCGTGTCTTCTCATATTGGGCCTACCAAAACTGTTTGTAGACATGTTCGAAGCACTCATATATGTGCGCTTCTAACACGTCTGCGGATAGTTTTGGTAGGCCCAATATGAGAGTACTGAGATAAAGGAACCAATTTTGGCAGTTGACACACTTGCAACCGCTTACGACCGGAGGGGCTTGTGAACCACCATCTTCTGACTGCCGATGGCCGGCCGCTTCTCTGTCGGTTCTGTGTGGTCCCCAATGTTTTAAGCACCTGTGGTTTGTAAGCATGGCAATAAGAAATGTGTAGATCTGCCATTACTTCAGCAAACAATAAACAGAACGCGCACATGGCACACATTGTTTCAGTTTTAGAAATAAGACAGCACCTCCAGACATTTTGACATAATACAACAAAAGGAAGACACTATTCAGTGTGTCCGCATTAAGACATACGTAGAGAGATTATACAGTATAAATAAATAAGTGGATGAAAGCCTCCGCTAGGCTTTGAAAAGGAAGAGGGGTGAGGGCGGTTGGTCGGCAAAGTAAGGTAAGACGGACAATGGAAAGTTCTCGCGCAGCAGGCTCAACTGTAGCCATCTATCTCATTTGATCTGGCTCTGTCGCATTTGTGTAAAGACAAAATGTAGCTCAAAGGTCTTGCACCGCCGAAAAGGGACTCGGCTGGTGAACGGCCACCTTTGCAAAGCAGCGAAGTGTCGTTCTCATGTGTGTCGAAATCCTTGCCTAGTTTGATCTGCGAGGTTTAGAAAGACGACGATTAATAAACAGTAAAGAACGGAAGGCGACAATACTTGTTTGTAACCTTCACTACTCATATTCAGCAATACTGAAACTGGGTGCGAAATTTGGAAACAGGTATGTCAAATAAAACATAAAGGAGCACAATTAAGCTTTACATTTGAATGAGATGATTATGCACTCATCAGCCCAAACCGGTTATGTTAAGAGACCGCCCAGCGAATCGGTAAACGATATTTACCGTCCATTTCAACCCCTGCTATATTATGCTGTGATTGAAATCCTGTTCACGTGAATTTGACACGCCTTATTTTGAAAACGGGATCAGTATTTAAACTTGGTTAGGGGCTGAGGCGAATAAGGATGAGATCAATGAGATCTCAGATTAATGAAGGTGCACAGAGTACAGCTGCATGTGCGTCTGCGGGTGTCAGCCATCCCAGTTTTCTCTTTTTCTTGGAAGTAGTTGAGATTTCTATGTCTGCAGTGTCAATCTTCTTTCCCTCGTCATTCTGCACTGCCTTGGCCAACTGTTAAAGAGACACATCACGTATGAGATTAATATATTGTAGTGTTTTCTAGCTGAGGAACAACCTGAGGCGTCTACTTCTGCCGGTTCATAGCTCCAGTCCTGAGCAACATGACAGCAAGGCTGAAGAGGCAGCGGTGCACACTAAACTTTTTTACATCCCTTAGGGGTGTAAAGCACTTGTCCCAGGACGAGCACCCTTTGAGGGTGCAAACGAGCAGCCCTGTACCAAAGCACCCTATAGACCTTTTCCACAGGGGCGCCGCCATCTTGAATTGTAGTCACTTCCAGTATGGGCGACGACAAAATAGTAAAACGTTTCAACCTGTAACCAGTAAAAAAATAGAGCGGAGCCAAAACGAGAATGTGTGACGGTTAGGCTTATATCCTAAATGTGTTCTATTGGCGTGGCGACGGCAAAGTAATGTTTTCGCCCATACTGGAAGTGACGACAATTCAAGATGGCGGCGCCCTTGTGGAAAAGGTCTATAGGGGTGTGAAGTGTATAGGGTGCTAGGTGCAATGCACCCCAATCCAAGGGTGCTGATGCTGATTTTATTGATGATTCATTCTAATCGACATAGACTTTTGTAAAACAAAACTTATCTTATTTACACAGATGATCTCGTTACAGATGAGCACTTAGCCAAGCCGACACTTTGTACAGGCAGGCTGGCACTAAAAGTGGACTATTATCTAAAATTAGTTGATTAACTTTTTCAATTACTGGTTCGACAGCTGTTTCGAACTTAAAGACAATCACCTCCTTAAACCAGTAAATTTTTTATAAATCCTGAAATGAGCACACAGGCCAAAAAAAATAAGAGAAAATATAATTTCACCAAAGGCAGCGGTAATGTAGCGGTCCAGAAAGTACTGTATCTCACAACCCGTTTTGTGCCCCATTTTCACGATATGTGCTGATGTCATCAAACCAGTCACTAAATAGCTAATCCATGGAATTTATGCAATAAGTCCACTTTTAGCTGTCATCTTGCCTCTATAAAGTGTCTGCCAGGACCACTATAACTCAACTGTAAAAAGATAATTTGCATAAAACTGAAGTTTTATTTTATAAGAATCTGTTCCAATGAGAATGAATCACCCTGTATCTCAGCACCTGTCAAACTGGGTTCAGTATACCAGGTATGGCAACCAGAAAACCACGAAGTATGCAGACCAGATAAGTGATGAAATAAGGAGATGCAAAAGTACAGTGCCAGCATAGGACCTCGTTACAGAAACTGGATTCATTATTTGATATGTGTGCAATGCATCGGCACACATGCTACTTGAAGCAGCTGTGCCTAGATGCACTGTCCGATAATGAAGGCAAGATGTGCATGGCAGAAAAGGTAATATTTCAATGTGAAGCTTAACTTATGTGCAAACGGAAGTTACAGGAAAATCTTGCGTGATTTAAATTTTAGTTCCCACAAAATTTGGAAGGAAAATAAAAAAAAATCCCAGAATTTGTTCCATGGCTAAAGCTTCTGAATTTATTAATTGCTCGATGGTCTTAATACTCGTATACTAGAAAAGATCAGTGGGTGATATTCTCAAACATCATATTAAAGAAGGAGTCTGCCACCAATCTCAATGTGTCATTAAAAGTGTCCAATTGTCAAACTGCCAACACAGAAGTGTGATATGCATCACATGCATGATCAGCACTTGCTCATGCAAACTATGCAATGTGAGAAAGTGTATGGTACAAACATAAACAGCAAGGAGCTTAGCTTGTTCAATCCCGATACTTGGTCCTTGCATCCCACTCTGGCTCGTCGGTCATTTGCCTTGCATATGAGGTGGTTACGAGTTGTCATACTTGGTATGCCGTAGTACCTTTACACATTCGCCCAAGGCATGGCGAGTGGCATCAGCTGCATACAAACTGCATGTGATTAAGCTGCAAGTAAATAAAAGTTGTTATAAAATGAGAAACAAAAAACTGAAAGGAAAACTATATTAACAACTATTTATTGAGCTACTATGCGACCACAAAAAAATAATGAGGTATGTCCTCCACACACATATCAAAATACAATACTTGAGGCATTCCGTCAAATATCACAGCATATATAGGCCTAGATGCTAGTAAAAATCGAGAAACAATTGGGGGGTTTGAGTCAATAAAAGCCAAATTAAATGAATACTCATTTATTGAACTATTATGTGAGCACAACAAAATAACCAGCTATGTCCTCCATACAAATAAACAAATATATTTTCTTTAAATATCACAGCATAGGCTTAAGATGCTAGTAAAAATAAGAAAAAAAACAAAAATCAATACAGATTACCTCAGTACATCACAATGGTTCTTGATAAAAATGACTATAACAGAAGAACAATCTATACTCCGTTTCAAACATAGCGTGCAATGTAGTCAAAGCTAGCGCGCCGGTTTGCACAGCCGACCGCGACTACGTTCGCTCCACAAAATAGTGCGGCCCCTGAAAAAAACAAAAAGTAGAAAAGTGTACATCTTTGGAGCTAATAACTAATAGTGGCGTTATGATTTCGAGGGAACACCGATTCTTTTTCAATAAAAAGAAAAAGATAATGTAAACTACTCTAAATTATTTTCCGTTTTCGTTCGTGCGGCACTCGCACTCGCTTCGGGTTTTCGGGTTGTGCGGCTGCCCCTGCCTCGCCGGTTTCGTGAAGATGGCGTCTTACGCGGGAAGCTTTCTCTTCCTGCTCGGATATTTTCGAAGATTCGTCGTGTAAAGATCTCGCAAAAGTGCAAGCAGGTGATCGCCAACGTGTACGCGAGTTCAAGAACGTGTTTCCCGGAGACGTCGGTCCGTGAGGTCCTGGAGACGGTCAGTAACGACACCGGAGTGTCTGGCAAGGTGGCGTCCCGGAAGCGAAGACCTCGCAACGTGAAAGTTCCGAGCACGCGGACAGTGTTGTGAACTGCCACCTGTTATTTCTGGTGTTAAAATCGGCCTTATGGCTTCAAAGTGAAAGAAGCCTCTAGAAGGAACTGTGTCGGTGATGAATCGTGCCTACGGCTCCGTCTGCTTGCGGGACCTTACAGCAGGCGGTGCCCGTGATTGCATTCCGAAGTGTCTGGGTTCTTTTGCCTGCGGGACCGTAACCATGGTCGGCTCCGTCTGCCTGAGGCAGCTTAACCTTGGTCGGCTAAGTAAACGACGCACATGCCCGTGCCTGTATTCCGAGGCCCCTGCTTTCCTCGAAAAGGAAACAACACTCGATCCTGATCTCGAGTGCCGTGTGTTGTGTACGCGTCTATTGTGAATCACTCCCGGTTCATGGGGGCGCCGGCACCAGAGCACCGAGATACTGCCGTCTGGATGACTTCTTCCATACACCGGCGAGTATTCTGACTCTGAAGGAAACTTCCATGAAGTCACATCACGTGAGGGAATGCCAAGCCGTCTGAACAATGGCAGTGCGGTCCCCTAATCACAATATTCGTTATATAAAGGACCGTCCACCACACTCTCAAGGTACTCTCTGATTTTCACGCTACCATGTAAATAAACGGCTTTAAATAGAGACGCCCTGGATCTCGACCGTTCTTCCGTTTTGACGAGGCCGGCGCAAATTCGAGCGGAACACCAGCCCCTGGTCTACCTTCTTATAAATAAAATATGCACTTCAACAATACGCACAATCTTGCACAAAAAATCGGTCGAGGAAAAAAAAAAAAAAAAAATCCTTTGCGCCCTAAGTGGATTCGAACCACCGCCACCGAGATGTCGGCATGGCCGGCATCGCCAGAGCAGCGCCTTGTACCGCTCGTCCACGAAATCTCGCGGAGTAACACAATTTTGTGTGTTTTTTCATGCGCACTACTTCAGTAGCTTTCCCAGCGTTGCACGCGATGTTTGAAACGGAGTATAGATGCCTTCCGTTTCGAGTGTATACTTTCTGTTCCATTGCACATGCGACTTTCATTCAGGACCCTAAAGTTGCATAAAAATCAAGCTACACTTCTTTTAGTTTAGGACTTAAAACATTAAAACAAGCTACCATATTTTCCAGACATAGTACACAATCCATTGTACAATGCGCAAGGGTAAATTTCGGCTAAAAAGAAAAAGTATTTTCTTAGATAGTCTGCACTCGGTGTATAATCCTCGGGGAAAACTTCAGGCTGGAGAACTCCACAAAAGGGATATCTGCGGATGAATGTCAGGGGCCTTTCTGTGATCCGCTCGTCAGCCAATCGCAGAGCTCCTCAAGATTAAGCTTGACCCGAGTTGGTTGCTTGCAGGCTCCCAAGCAAACATGTCAGATGCGAGGTATCGAAAGCCTGGGAAACAGACTGACAGTAGGAGGTTGTCTTGATTACTTTATCCCAGCGTAAAATATCTAAAACACGGCAATCTGGCCTAACCAGTCTTGTAATAATGAACAATCTTGAAACAAAAATTGTAGAGTCCACACCTGTAGATAGACTGTACGAATGTAAAATATCAACTTTTAGACATGCATAGTTTGTGCACTATAGTCTGGAAAGTATGGTACATTTATTTTAGTTTAGAGTTAGAAAGTTAAAAGTTAAATGGGTGCTGGTACTGAAATTTGACTTCACAAAACAAGGCACCAGAAGCACACAGTGGGATGCTACAGACCCCAAAACACCACTCATGCAGCAGTATCTCAACTGGATGGGCATATTTTCGAAAAAGAGAATACAGATGTCGCAAGCTTTGTTCAATCATGCTCATATTTTCCAAAAAGTACTGCCATCCATTAGAGATACCGTCATATGAGTTATGTTCTAAGGTTTGCAGCATCCCACCTAGTGCTCCTGCCTGGTTTCGTGCCATCCAAATCTCGGTTCAGCATCCCTTTGGTATTAGAACGGTCGTTTGTCGGCCTCATTGATTTTACGCTCTTGCAACCTTGTTCAGGAATTTCATCACAACTGGCCTCGGAGTAGTGCTACTGAGCCCGACAAACAACCGTTCTAGAAGAGCAACTGTGTTTGCTGCCTTTTTCAAGTACTTATATTAAAAAGCCAGTAAGCCACCATGATGGCAGTGATGTCGTCCTCTGCATTCTTCACGGACAAAAACCGCTGCTTATCGACAGCGAGGTACAAAAAGTCAGCCCCCTCGGCGTCATTGCCAGAGTACACGACGCACGGCATTGCCGGGATGTCTTGCTCCTGTGTTAGCAAACAAAATCAATGCAATGTAAGGCAGGCACCATGCGTGATAGTCTTCTCTAAATCATCACGGTTAA